GCCAGCCAGTGATCCAGCAAATCATTTTGGTCACCTTCCAGGTCAAATTCCAGGTTAGACCATTTGCCCAAAAGATTGTTCCTAGTTCATCTAGGAACTAACCTGGACCATCTCTGTCTCTCTGCCAATTTATGTAAGGTATTGGTCTATTTAAAATCCAAGAGGAGGAAAAGGAAAAAGAAAAGGAGAAAGGAGAGAAGGAAAGAAAAGTGGATCCCTTAATGTGGAAAGCTATAAAAGATTAAAATCCTCGATCTTCAGCCAATAAACCAGTTGCTCCTGGGGAGGAAAAAGGTTTCACAGGCTCAGATCATTTTCACAGAACTTTTATTGTGGCAACATACAAAACCTTATTTGCACCAGTGTAAAAGTTACACTGGACATGGGGACAGAGAGGAAAAAAAAAAAAAAGCATTGCTGCTTGGACTATTTAGATCTGAAAAATTTTTCAAGCACAGCTAAACTTATGATAATATATCTATTGTGAATGAAGCTCATAACATATTCTGCTTGTTGCTGAAATAAGAAAGTGTTGACTTTAGAAGACTTTAAGCCAGCAAACGGCAGGTAGGTTCAGCAGTCCATGACTCTCATCTGTTTACCCAGTGTTCCTCAGATGCTTGAATGAAAATATAAATATCATACTAGTTACTGTGCAAGTCAGCTTCTGTTTTGCTCTGCTTTCGCTCCATTCTTCACTCCAGAATCAGAGTGATGTAGATGTGAATCAAGGAACTAAAGGTGAAGTGTTGCCTCAGGGTTATTGCCTCAGGGATCCTTCACTCATACTATCAGTTGTTTGTTACATGCTGCTGAACACGACAGTTTTATTTCTGGTATTCACTATGGTCCTGTGCATGCTGTTAAAGTTTTAATGCTTGAGTTCTCACTGGAGCAGGACCTGCTGAATTTCTCCCAGTCCAGCTGAACTGAGTTACATCTGTAAGAACTGCACACTCTCAACCAGTGATGCTGTATTACAACAAGGATCCTGTCTCTGACAAAGGTAAATAGCAAATGGCTTGGGGAGAGGTTGAAAAGGTCTTCAGCTCCCTGTTTGTTCCAGGTATTTTGGCTCAATACATGATGACCGTCAGGCTATAAACAGTATTCTCTCTCCTTACTTCCATTCAGATTCAGTTGCTCTCCTTAACATCAATTCATAACATTGGTGTTACCACTATTCAAACTCATTTCTGAATTCTCTCATGTTCCCAAATCCTGCAAATGGTTTGCTATAGCTCACAGACTGACAACACAGGAATGCAGCCATGGAGTCCTGGTAACATATAGTTCAGGCACCTAAGTGATTTCAGGTCTAAAGAACCATCACAGTGTGGCAACCTTGCTCTAATTGTTTTTTCCACCAAAATGAAGTAAAGCTGACAGCCAAGTTTTCACAGGTCCAGTGTTTCTGGACTATCAGAAGACCACATGGAGCCTTCTCTTCTACTTCTCCATCAGGCAAAAGCTGATGACTTTTTTGTTCATAGGAGTGCTAGAGAAAAATATCAGCCAGGCCACGCTGTGCAGCCCTTTGCATGATCACTGATTCTCCAAACAGGCTGGGACTTGGGCCAAAATATTCTCACTGTCTTATTTTAGAGAATAAATTTCTAATTTCTATACTTGTGCCAGTGCTACATATTGAGCTTTTTTAGGATCAAAGTGGTATTTTTCACTATGGATTCTGGAGAAAATCTCAGTAATCCTTTCACATCTTTAAAAGAGATCTTTCAACTCAGCTTGTATCTTCTGGTACTGTTGTCTATAAGAGCGTAATAACACTGGGGTAAAAGAGTGCTGCATTGAGTGCATATACGAGTGCTTGTATGCATGCGTGCAAAGAGAGAAGGGCTGATGGACAATGGAGGACAAACAGTGCATTAATTTCAGGGAAATACTACAGTGAGAAAGAACATAGCTAAGAACTGTGAAAGAAGAAAGAGAGAGAAAGGACTTTGAAGATACTGGGTAAGTATCTTTTCTCAAGCATCCAAATACCATATTAAGGTTGTGTTTGTAGATCCCACTGTTAAGTTCCTCTTCAGCACTGAAGAAGAGCACTTGGCTTCAGTGACCAGAGTAGACCCCTCTAGTATGCATTCAAACATGGCTTTTCTTGGACTGTGTTGAGGACTAGAAAAGGGAACGTGAATTTTCCTGTTTTTCTTTGCAGGAGCTGTTTATGTCAGATCATCTCCAAACAACCAGGCCATACTTTTTCCTTTGATGTTACAACTGTTTTTCTGTTATATCTGGCACAGAACATACCACAGTGCTTCTTTCCCACCCATCTTATCTGCTGTTCTTAAAGCTGGTTGAAAAGATATTCTAGCCAGGAAAAGCTGATCAAAAGTAAGTAAAGTTTATTGCTATTATGCTTTAAAGAAAATCATACAATGGCACTAACAGATGAAGCAGCTATCATAACTGTGAGGGGAGCTCACACGTACTAAAAATATTCTGTCTCATCCAAAGGTTTAATATTACAAAGCCCTGGAGAATCTCCATCACTGCACAAATCACTTGTTTGACCTTAACAGTTTACTACTGGAGGACAGCAACAATAGCCTCTGAAGATACGCTCATCTGTATCATTTAATTACCAAATTCTAGATCAACTTCTTACATTTCTCAACAAGCTTTTGGGCCCAGCTGACCTTTTTACAGTGAAAGGAGCCCTCATTTAGATATCTAATCTCTCACTAAATGTTAACTTTGTCAGGGAGAGCTTTGGCTCCTTCTAAGCATGAAAAACAGCAGTATAAGAATCTAGCATCATTTCCTGTATTAACAATGCAAGTAAATGTCAATCTTTACACAGAAGGCATAAAGGAGTACGGTCTAGACATCCATAACTTTCCTCATCAAAATATTTTCTACAGCACTTTATAATATTTTAAATAGATACATATGTTTTATTCGATATATTTTTAGAATAAAACTGTTGTATTTATATTTATCACGTATTTAATTGTTACCAATTAGGCTTGTGAAGATTCAGAACAGGATGCACTGTAAGTAATCACATAAAGGCTGGCCATGTAACGTGTGAACATTAAAAATAATATAAATACAGTGATTAGTATAAAAATATACCAAAATCTGTATGTCTGTTTAGATGCAAGTTCATGACTTTCTTTTGAGTACACAGGCAAGGATGAGGACCCAAAATAATCACTGAGAAAAAAAAAAATTGCTTTTCAGAAAAGGAGTCTATTTCACAAGACTTCCTGTAGCTCATCAAATTTATCAGAATACAAAACTTTTTTTTTTTTTTTTTAATTTTCTTTACAAAAGGAAGGGAATTCTCTGACAGTATTTTTAGAATCAATTTATAAAACTATTAGCTCCTCCCACTTCTTTTTTAAACTCCAATTTCTCATTTAAAATACCTTTTCATTTTTTAAATTGTAGCTTCCTCACTAACAAATTATGTCTAATAATACTGGGGTGAACAAATGAATTTTCTGCTGAAAAGTCCCTGCTTTCCCTGTTAAATCTGAAATGAGATGGTCTTAGTTATTTCAATTTATCTGTGTCCAGAAAAAAATACAGTACTGCGACTGTAATTGAAATTTGCATATATACATATAAGGAGAATATAAGGGAGTAGGAATGTCTAAACTCCTAGAGTTGGGTCTGACAGCATGCTGCCTCTTTAATGTCTGATCATATCTCATATATAATGATATCTAATTCAGGAGAGTAGTTCTCCTAGGTGATAGAATAAGACAGATCTTAGCAGATAATATGAGGATATTTGGCTTGTGCTGACCGTGCTTTTGAATAAGGACAGTATCATACTACTGCTTCAGCCTTGTCTTTGGGAGACACTTAAGTTTGACACACAGTGGAATAAACATACATTATGTTACAAACTGATTCATTTTATTCAGTGCTTTTAGCCAAGGAAATGCTTGAACAGTGAATAAAGCAGTTGTTTTAACCTTCTAACTACAGCTACCCTCAATACACACTGGAATGAAAAGAATCTCTTGTACTTGATTTGTCTGTAAACACACTAGAAATCCCAAATCATGTAATGTGACTCCATAAAAGGCAGTACTAAAGATATTTGGGTCCTTGAAATGTTAGTTTATGTTATGCTTTGACTGAAAAAGAGCAACAAAAACCAAAACCACTAAAGAGTTTACAAGAATTCCCAGAAGTGGATGTGGATCTTTTAAACTCAGAAAATACTTCCTACCTTCTCAGTTACAAATACAGCCTAACCTAAAAAGCTTGAAAGTAGGACTTACGATTTGTAAGAATTAATAGTCTGGGGAAGGGAAACACCAAAACCAAACAAAAACATTTAATGGCATTACAGGGTATCTCCTGCAAGCGGAGAGCTACTATCTATTTTTTTCAACAAACTTACATTAAAGAAAGAATGTTGTGAGGCTGTACCTGACTATAGCTGTATGGGTTTTACATTTACTAGTTACTCAGACTGCTAACTAACTTAGAAAATGCAGCATACGTTACTTGAGTTGATCACTGCTCCTGAACATGAAGGGGAAGATTCTCAAAGCTACTTGCAGTGATGTCTGGCCCTATAACTCTCCCATGCTTTTGAAAATATTTCAAATCACTGAAAAGAAGGTTATGAACCTCTGTTGGCAAACCTATACAGCTGCAATATTATTCCGTATAGCTGTGGATTGGACCAAGACACTAACTTGACTAAAGGCTGAATGACTTTCAGTACTCTGCAGTGAAAATTGGTAACCTAAAGTTAATTGAAGGAAGTACAAGTATTCTACACTCTGCTGAAGGATGGCATAGACGCGAAAGCACAAGGCCCTACACACATCAGGATCTTACCATTTCTTATGTGTTGGAACTGATGACTTATCACTCTGCTGTGGGGCAAGTGTAAGTGATCACACAGCATGGAAAATGTAAAATATAGCGTATCAAAATAAACAGAAAAGGAACCAGGAGCTGATTAGGTGGAAAAAAAGAGAAGGAATAAGAAAACTGCCTCTTACCTGGTCAAGATTGTTGTAAAAGTCTATATTGGCTGCACACAAGTATCTCCCAAGCAGAGTGGCATGGGTAGTAAAAATTGTGGCAACTGGAAGTTTCTGAGATCGAGACAGTATTAAACCCACTCCTGCCTGCCATTCATGGAAATGAGCAACTATGTTGGGCTTGTCATCAAACTGACAGGAAAGCTGAAAAAAATTAGAAAGAACATATATTAAATGTGTATCATCCAGCTCATCATCCCAGCCTCAGAAACTTTCCTTCATATTGTGTTGTGTGTGTTCTTTCCTATGACAAAACAGTATAGTGTTTTAAGTGGTCATGTGCCTTGATTCTATCAGCCTTAATCCTTAACTCACAAAGTACATGTCCTTCACTTGTATCTCAGAACAGCATCCTTCATAAAGCGCTGGGAAGCTCTGGCAAGGACAGTCACTCTTCATTCTTTCAACTTGCTCATCTGCTATTGAAACTCTAATTTGGATAAAAAAAATTCATGAGCATCTCTAATGGAGATTATTCTGTAGATTGACAAAGTTTTGTTTTTTCAGGGACGTGGTGGTAGAGTAATGGAAGTCATGGTGTTGTCATTGATTTTGTCTGTAACATCTCTACAAGGTACAATCTAGCAGCTCAAAGAACTTTCTTACTGGCTTCATGACACGTTTGTGAGAGTGACAACTTGACCATGGTAGGAGAGGAAAAGGGAGTTTGGGATCTTATCTGTAAGAACACCCAGTGACAAATAAAGGAGTTGGGAAAAAAAAAAACAGAGGAAGAAGTGACAGTGAAGACATGGCACATTTCACATAAGACTTGGAAAAACATAATTAAAGTGATAAGACTTAAGTTATAAATACAAATTTGATCTAGGTCAGGAACGACATCCCAAAACTTTTCTTCTCTGCTGACAAGGCTGAGTTTAAAAACTCCAGATTTTAAAAACTGTACCTCTTTTAAAAACCAGGCTGTTACTGATCCAAAAATTACAGCATCATTGGCTTCTCGGTCATGAAAAGGAATCCCTATGTTGGTAGCATCCCAAAATTCGCCTTTCCATCTGTCCAGATTCCAGGCTGCTGATCCTATATCAAACAGTAAGACATATGGGCTGCCCTCTATCAGCCATCTTCCAAAAAAGACCTAAAGAAAATAGGCCAACATATAAGATGAAAATGTTAAAGTGAATGTGAAAACAAATTTCCACAAGTATTTTCATCCATCAAATCATATGTATTTTACATAAAGAATGTTAAGGATCACAGTCCTATACACCCAGGATTTGTGGCTTTCCTTGCAAAATACATGGAGTAATACTTGATCAAAGGTTGGGGTAAGTGGAAATTATATGACATTTCCTCATTCTGCCCATACAGCACAGTTGGTGCCTTTCGGCACAGAGGAAAGAACAATCAGAAGGTGTTATAATATCTAAAAATATCAGCCCCCAAATATACAGTTTTCCATCTTTATATGCATCAGTACATTTAAACATCTGTAACAGAATTATAACTCCAGTAATATAACCTACCTGCACAACAAGGAGAATAGGCTGAACTGTCCTAAGGCAACACAATGCAATTTGGATCACATTTCACATTGCAGCAGTCTACACAGTCAAATTATTTCACCTTATTTCAAATTATCTCACTTATTTGGGTCTTCAACCCAAAATGGCTATAGCAGCAGAGGCATATTAACTGTGGATAATGAGGCACTATATGTAGATTAATGCAGTTTATACTCTGTACCCTGCTCATAGGAGTCTTTTATGTTGCTGTTCAACTGCATTTAATTCACCAACCCCTGGGCTCTCCAGAGTGGAATCCTGTCCTGATGTTAGAGCTGGCGAGACAGAGTGCAGGTCTTGAAAACAATGAGACAAAAGTTCTCAGACCTATTTGCACAAAAAATAAAGGCTATATCAAAGATAGGTATGTGAAGAAAGCTCAGACCCTTACATACGTATTTCAAGCTATTCTGGTTTCTTACTTAGGAAAATGAGGTTCTGTGAACCCTGATTTTAAATATGGTGTCAAGTTGTGACAAGGAACACACCTGACCCGAGAAATTCAGAACATTTCCCAGGTCCCCTGCTTTAAAGGGTTCCATTGTGATACATAAGCAAAATCCAGACACACTGGTAATAGGATAAGTGCAGCTCCTGGAATCTAAAGCGTCATTATTAGAGATCAAAGCTATACTTGACGTACCTGGGATAGATCTCCTGCTATATATGAATACTCCAGCAGAACAATGCACATGTCAGACTGCCAGAGCTGACTACTTAAATTGAATGTATGCTGGAACAGCATAAAGTATATATGTATGTATGTATAGCTTTGCAAATAATCTGTCCCACAAGCCTTTTGCTATTATCCAAACAAAGGAGTGTTATTTTGCAGAGACATCTCTCTGTAAGGAACAGGTGCAGCACATAAAACTTGATAATTCACTTAGGAAAGTCTGATAAAAAATATGGATTTATATTCCTGTTAGATTAGACCTTTCAGTTTGAACTTCCTTTTTTACAATGCCAAGCATCATACAACAGCAGCATCCCCAATGGACATTATCCAAATCTGTGGCTCATGTATTTCCAGCAATGTACATAACACATAGCAGGGCATGAGAACCTAAGAACTGCCACAGCACAAGGCCAGCGTTATATGGCTGGTGTCAGTCCAGGATGTTCATGAATTTCTACACTAAAGTGTGCCATATTTAGCTTATTGCTGAATAAGAAGAATTTTATTACTAGTTTATGGTTGGAGTCAGGCTATGAGATTGATCTGAGGTCTCAGAGAAAACACCAATAAAAATTGTGCAAGAAACACAGATTAACTCCCTATGTGTGCTACAGTTTAACCCCTCTTTCAAGGGAATGGACAGTCAGTTGTATTGATCTGAGGAAGCAGATTCTTTATCAGTTGGGTGCTTTTCTTAAGCACACTTGTGGTTTTTCCCTTTCTGCCTTTCAACTCAGTACAGTGCTTCATAAGAAAAATTCTATGATAATGAAATGCTTTTCTTTAAGTTCCTTCAACAGCATAAGAATGCTGAAGGTAACACAAGAGTTCAGTCAAAGTAAGGTCGTATTATATCCACTAAAATCTCACTGTATTTAGAGACTGGAGAAATAAGTCATTAATCCAATTAAGTAGTCTTGCAGATAAATGAGCGTTAAAACCTTTAATTGGATAAACTGTTTCTTCCTCAAAAATAACCTGTAATGGATAGACTTTGCTGTTCTAACCGTAGAATCTGAGCTTTTCCCATTGTGACATTGACCAGAACTGCTGTGTCAAGTGGAACAGCGGGAGCATTAACCAAAACTGTAATCTCCTCAGAGTCAGCTTAGTTGTCCTGAGAAGTAGAAGCACATCTGATTTACCTGACACCCTTGGCTTTTCATGGTATCCATTGCCTTCTTAATTGCAGGGTTTGGAGGCTCACATACTTCCACCTGAGTCTTCACATTGTGCTCAAAGTAAGGACCAATCAGAAAATAGTTTTCACCCCATTCATCTGCTGTAATTTTGGCTTTCGTCTGGATCACGGTATAAATTCCTCCCACTGAAAAACAAGATCACAAAGAACAAAAAGTAGAAATGGGAACAGGCCTTAAAGCTCTGGAATAAGTTCCATCCTACCTGGGAGTCAGACAGACCACTAAATCACATATTCAGACTTAAAATGAAAGCTGGAATCTAACAAATAAATAGAAGTTCAGCCTCCTAAAATGTAACCAGAGCTTCACCATTTAGTTTAGGAGTATGCTCTGATAGCAGACCATGTGTTATCCTTAAATAGCAATTTAATACTTTGCTTAATTCCGGTTAACGGTATATGGCTTCCTTCTATTTCTCCTCCTATTTCTCCTCTTCTTCTATTTCTCCTCTAATCTCAAATGGATGCTTTCTAGCCTTAACTACCAATTCTATCTGTTATTATTATTATTTTAATTTCTTTCAAGTGTATGAAGTCACATCATAAACGTTGATTCAATTTATTTTTTTTAGGTTGTCCACCCCTCTTCAAACATCTGTACTCAGACTGTGGGATTCAAATCCTGAGGCTCACACTTCCATTTTCCATTGCCTAATCTTGATTATACTGCATTCCAAATTCAGACTGCTTTTTTTTTTTTTTTTTTTTTAATGAAGAAATCGTAATTTTCAAACACGTACTTTGTGATGTGGAAATACATGTGGTAATAACTAGGCTGGCACCTCCAGTTTGTTTCACACAAATCATAGAGGGAAGTAGAGGCAGTGATGAATTTTGTTGACTACTGGCCATGAAAATGGATTTAAACTTAAATCTTTGTAGCAAAAGGTGTCATGTCCTATCACTAATCTAAAGAGTTTTTAAATTGGTATGAATGTAGCCTATGTTGCCAATATAAATATCTGCAGCACTTTTCACCTAAATACTGTCAATCTTACAAGTAAATGTAGTATTAAATTTCTAAGAGAATAGAACAGTAATATCTTCTGATGAGTAAATACAAATCTACCTAGTCTTGCATATGGGATGGTAGATTCAATTAGTTACTTTTCCCTGACAGTTTTCCACATTTGTCCCTGTGATCTATGCACTGGCAATGCAGCCTTGCAGCCCCCTTGGTCACAGGACCTCCGATTCGAGGCGGTGGCCATTCCACCACCACAAAAACAGAACACTAGTAAGTGCTTAGATCAATCAAGTAGAAAGGAGGGCAAAAGAGGAGCTGCTGCTATATATCAGAGACGTTTGTCATAGCTCTGATGATTTTAAACAGGGTAAGACAAATGAAGCTCAACAGATACATGCAAACATTTGCAGACCAGGAAATAATAAGAAAATAATGAAAGTTGCTACTTAGAAATGTCATCCTCCATTGAATCTGGAAGCATTTGGTAATACTTCAGACAAAAAGACCATGTTACACCTTTCAGCAACAACATCAAAATACATAAGAAGTCAGCAATGCAAGTGATCATTGTCTAGCATTCAGCAATCCAGACTTCATTTTAAAAGGTACTTGAGTATCTAGAGGTGCAGGTGGACTGCATGCCACTGCAGATGGCAAAAAATCTTTACGGTTTACCTGATTCTTCTTAAAAATGTGCCCCTAATGACCATGCCTTACAGAAGAGCTGCTGAAGTTGCTCAGAGCTTCAGGAGATTAGTTCCCAAAGTAATTAAACTCTATCACCTGAGAAGTATAGAAAGCCTTCTCCCAAGCTTGGTACCTTGCAGTCCTGAGAAACTGAGCAGCCAGAGCTATGCTTTCTAATTCTGTTCCTAAAAGAGAATTTGCATACTTAAAGTCTTTTTCTTTACAAGCATGCCATTTGTTCTGAATGCCTGAAGGGTTCCCAACCTTAATTTTTTTATGTCAAAGTGTCTCAAATTTCTAGGCATTTGACAAACAAATACAAATGCAGTTCTAATCTAGCAGCTTGCTAAATAAAACTATTTCACTAAGTTATTAAACTACGTCCTAACTCAGGATCTAAGAAGATTCTCATATCTCCCTAAATCAATGCCATAGTTAAGGAGTTCCACATCATAGAGATATGGAACTGCAGAAATAAATCTATGCATTGGAAAGTCCTTCTGTACTTTGCTCAGATCAGAAAGACAAGGAAATTAAATCACAGCCACCATGAGCACCTCTTCTATGAAGAAACGTTGAGGGCTTGGTCAGCTTAGAGAAAAGAAGGCTCCGGGGACACCTTATTGTGGCCTTCCAATATTTGAGGGGAGCATATAAACAGGAGGGGGTACAACTGTTTATGAGGGTGGATAGTGATAGGACAATGGGGAATGGTTTTAAACTGAGACAGGGAGGTTTAGGTTAGATATTAGGAGGAATTTTCTCACACAGAGGGTGGTGACACACTGGAACAGGTTGCCCAAGGAGGTTGTGGATGCCCCATCCCTGGAGGCATTCAAGGCCAGGCTGGATGTGGCTCTGGGCAGCCTGGTCTGGTGGTTGGCGACCCTGCACGTAGCAGGGGGGATGAAACTAGATGGTCATTGTGGTCCTTTTCAACCCAGGCCATCCTATAATTCCATGATTCTATGATTGTCTACTATAGCTGCTCTGGACAAGGACTTGAAAAAGTTTGAGAAAAGTGGCTCCAAATTCCTCTGCTCATAAGCTGATAGAAACTACTTGAATACTTTGTATTTGTGCAAACACACCATTTTAATAATGAGACAAGTCAGAAGGTTGACCTACAATGTCATGCGGTTACAATGACACAAATGTTGCCTGTTCTCATGGGAAGGTCATCACATGAACAGAAATCACTTTAATACAAAACAGATAAACAAGTAGAGATCCTAGTTGTGAAACTAGTTGGTTTTTATTGGCAAAAATATTGGTCTTATAATAGGGGGAGATATTTGTGCAAAGTTGCCTGGTGACTGCATGGAAATGAGTAAAAAACCTATGTGCAAGAATTAAGATACTAGATAACATGATAAAGTCACATATGACATCAATGGTGTGGAGCTCTCCAAAACAATTCAAGGAACATGTTATATATTATGAAGAGATAGATTATATCTGCACAGTGACTTTGAATCCACTGGAAATACCTATGTTAGTAATCAATGCATTACACATTCCACCAACTAAAAGAGCTAGGCTGAAGTTGAATACACAGATCCTAACAGAATTCTCAAATTATTCCCACCTATATGATATACCACTTGTTTGTCCCTAATCACATATTTTAATGTCATATTGTAGCTATAAAAACTTTCCAAACAATAAGGACATATGAAAATCCCATGATGTTTTAGGTTTCTGTATGCAGCCTCAGAAGTTCTGTTATCTGAAGAAGTTTTAAAACAATGATGGATGAAATGAAAAATAGATGCAATATCAGGAGAGCTTAGATACAGAAAACTGGATTATAAGCATGAGGCATTAGTAGTGAAATGTGAATAAATCATAGAGTCATAGAATGATTTGGGTTGGAAGGGACCTTTAAGATCATCTGATTCCAATCCCCTGCTATGGGCAGGGACACCTCCCTCTAGACCAGGTTGCTCAAACCCTATCCAGCCTGGCCTTGAGTGCTTCCAGGCCCAGTTTGGTGTTCTAATTCCCACTGAAACATTTCATGCAAATATTTTAAGTTCTGATAATTTTAAAATCTCCTTGAGAGAAAAAAAATGCTTCTATTATTTGTTTTTAAAATTGACTTTTAACTTATCCACCAGAAAGAGGAAATTAAGTTAAAAAAGAAATCAAGAAAAAATTATTCCCCTCATTTATTTCCATTCATTCTCTCCCTCTTTTTCAGGGAAAATAAACTGGTAGGGAAGGGGAAAAAAAAGTTTTTGGGAAAGAAGGTCCACATGAGAAAGTTTGACTTCTCTTCAGTGACCTCTTTAAAAGGAAAAAGATGAAAACAAAATATTTGCTCAGAAAATATTTCATAAAATTATTTTCCTAAGTTTGAATGTTTTCATATAATTTATCATAACTGCGCATTTATCTAAAAAGTTATCATCCCCATTACTTCAGCCTCTTACTTCTTTCCCCGTTTCAAGTGTATTATTATTATTGTTGCATATTTAAAGTCCAAGCAGTAATTAGTGCCTTCTGAGACAGATGTTAGAGCTATTTAAATAAATAAGAAGTCTGTGAGTCAGAATGGACTCCCTCTATCACATCACTACTGAGGACAGCATTATGCAGAAGCAGGGACCTGATTTCACAACTGGAGATCTTTGTGCAAGATTTATCACTGCAAAAAAGCATACTATTTCTGCTGAAAATATTACATGGAAAGACCTATTGCAAATGCTCTTTGTCACCTGATGAGGAAGGGGCTACAACTTGCAAAATTACACAGGAAATTCATTTCTAGAAAATGGCCTGTGCATGTGGGAATGTAGGAGCAGGGAATGGCCCAAACTTCTCAAAGCTGCCAGAGATACCTACTGTTCACTTTACTTGCTCTCCTACCTACTGCACATTGTGGAGAGAGAGAGGGAAGCAGCAGCAGATTACAAAAAGGAAGTAAAGACACGGCACGAGAAGTTACAAAACTTAGACAGGAAGACTGTCACCTGCAGGATAGATGCAGGAGCCATTCCCTGAGCACCTTTGCTACAGAGGCAGAGGATGCTCCCAGGGCACTTCATCTTCTTTGCCACAGTCTGACTCAGATTGCACTAGAGCTTTTCTGGGGGCTCTGCTTGCTGTGGAATCCAAGAGGGGAAGTGGTACCCAGCTTCAGGGTTCAAAATCGTAGAATCATAGAATATAGAATCACAGACTGACCTGGGTTGAAAAGGACCACAATGACCATCTAGTTTCAACCCCCTGCTATGTGCAGGGTCACCAACCACCAGACCAGGCTGCCCAGAGCCACATCCAGCCTGGCCTTGAATGCTTCCAGGGATGGGGCATCCACAACCTCTTTGGGCAACCTGTTCCAGTGCCTCACCACCCTCTGGGTGAAAAACTTCCTCCTAATATCCAACCTAAACCTCCCCTGTCTCAGTTTAAAACCATTCCCCATTGTCCTAAAATGACTTCACTGCCACAATTACTAGTTATGTCAACTATTATTTCACTCCTTCCCTTCAAAATTTGTCTCTCATCTATAGACATAATAAAATTGGGCTTGGTCTCATTTCTTCTAATGTTCAATTGTATTCTGAATTTTTCATTATGTGTATCTGGTGACTATTTTTGGAGTAAAATAATGTCAAGCAAAAAGTACACAGCCTTCTCAGATACTTTCAGGTACTTTTCATGTATTTTTTGGCTATTTTTGTGTCCAGGACTCATCAGAAGATAGAAGTTATCCGTATTCTTTGAAGTTCTGGCACTAGAAGTATATTTTGAAATAATATCAAAACACTGCAATTTACAGCAGATGTTCACAATACAGTCCTGTGTGCATCATCTCAAATACAAAGGATTTAATTTCATATTACTTTGATGCCGAGATATCACCAGATCCAGAAGCATGATGGGTTTTGATGCTGTACTCATGCTAAGTTTCCCACAAGAACATGATTTTGTTATGGATAATAAACATGTATTATATAACTATGTAAGATATATGGTAGCACATCTTCACTTTCTAAAGTGTTCTAGTTCAACTGTGTCACAGATTACATCATCCACCTTCTCCCAAAGACCTTTTACATGGAAAGACATTTAATGATATAGATAGAGTGAAATGTTGGTCCTGCTGACTTCAGTGATTTCATGATTTAATTACCAAGGGTCCAGCTTTTCACCAGGGAACCTGTGCAAAGAACTCTGCTTCAGGGGGAAATGAACTAAGGTTTGTTTTTAGCAGAATCTTCCTTCCAGTAGGGCTGGAAAAAAATATTTAAGATTCATCTATGAGTGATTTTTGAGCCAATCTGTTCACAACTGAATGATGATAGAAACTGGCAGTCGGCCCAGCATTTTTAAGCACTCTTCTACTTTCTAGCTAAAAGCTGTTAAGTATAGCAGAAGATACGAATCTAAGCATCAACTGAATGACTTTAAAGGAATCTTTCAAGAGCACAGATCAGATTTTCAGAGTTTGCAGCCCTTCTCACTGTGTATATCCAAAAACTCACTAACCTACAGCTAAGAATTACACTTCTCTATCTCAGTTAAATACTCCAATTATCAGTGGGAAAATATTTAAAAGATGTTGAGAAGAAGGAATTGAGAACAAAAGATTACTATGGAAAGTTTGCTGCAGTTGTCTCCATGCTCCTGTAATAGCTTTTGATTCCCTGCTGACAATTTCCATCTATGGAGCTTCAGACACAAGATATACAAAGCTTGTTGCCAATTTGCTCTGTGCTCCCGTTCTTACAGTTCTATTGGTCTTTGTGTTATAAGGGAAAAAACAAAACAAAACAAAACATAGCAAACAATCCTCTTTTGCAACATGCATATAAATAGGCCCAGATATGGCTTTACTGAAGCATACTGGCCAGGAAAGATGGGGAAGGAAGTGTGAAACAAGCTGAGTTTCTCCAAGATTCCCACCAGATCATGCAGCTCTGCAGTGTATTGTGGCTCTTGTCTGTTTGCTTTTATCCCTTTCTGCCACAAAAACACAGTAGATTCACCTCACAATATGGGATTTGCCCATCAGTGGAGAGTCAAAGTGAGAAAATCTCGCATCACAAACTACATTTTTCTCACATTTGTGACAGAAGACTTTCAATGAAAGATGATTTCAATGTTGTGCTCGCATTTTAAGCGGCAAGTCCCTTTTTGCTTTACTTGGGGGTAGGGTGGAGGGAGAGTGACATTTTCAGATGAGTTTCTTTTTCTTTTTTTTTTTTCCAATTTCTCATTCTCTCCTTCAGCTATCTTATCTTTGCATGCTCCAAATTGACTATGTAAGCTAGAGCTAGGGAGAAAAAAGAATAACTGAGATGCTGGTGCTTTCCAGTTCTTATGTCAGAAGCTGTCACTCAGCACAGGCAGCACTGGAACACAGAATATAAAAAGGAAGCATAGGCAAGCAGAAAACTCTGCTAGTTAGAGCATGTGGTTAAATGAACTAGACTTAAAAAAGGGAGGCACCTTCACTGTGCCAGCTGTTGAGAAAGAACTTAAGAGGTTCTGGGAATAATGAATTCTTACATATCTCTGAATATTGAGTTAATGCAACTGACAAATCCTTTCCTTCCACTTCATCACAGACCTCGGTACCAACCAGCACCACCTCCTGCTCAAGGAAATGCCAGTCAACCCTCTTTTCCAACAGGCAGTCTGGCACGTGAAAACTCTCTCACACCATACAATCACATATACTCCTAGTTGCAGGGCCTTTCATTGTCCTCCGACCTCTGAAGGCAAATATATTTGTGAAGTTCAGAAAACAGCTCATCTGAGCTACTTGCAAAGGGCACTGCTTACAAGCAACTAGTGATGCACAAAAGGCTCATATAAAGACTTGAACTCTCTCCTGTAGGCAGCAGCAACATTACACCACTTTAACTGCATGAGCCAACTTCATGCTGAAACAGCTTTGCATTGCCAGAAAATAAATATTAAGCCATCATATTAAATCATCAAATGAGCTTGTCAGGGCAATAAGCCCAGCTTATGCTTATCTTTCCCTCTATATTAGAAATATAGATAGCTACATTTAAACTAAAACACTGAAACATGTCGCAGCATTAAATCTATGTGGGGGCAGGCTACTTAGTAAAATGAACAGTTATTCCTTATGCTAAAGGAGGATGGAGGAAATGGTGTAAGTTATTGTATTTCCTAAGCCTGTATATCTTCTGTGAAGACTCTCCCTTTTGTTGGCTATTCTCTCTCTTTATAAGCCCAGTGCCTTAACGTTTTCCAAGAAATGTTTATAAAAAGGTCACTGGGGAATCTCATCATGTGATTTTGACATTCAATTGCAAAGAACACACAGAAAAAAAAAAGCCTTCAGCATCAAGAACAGAAAGGCTCACAGAAAAGTAAGCTGAAATAGGCTTATTAAAGATTTTTTGCACAAACATTTCCAGTCACGGTTGGCTGATGGGAATTTTGTACAGAGATCCATTTTTAATGAAGACATTGTTTGCTATGTCTAGCTGTGTCAGTTCCATTTGGACATATGAGTTTGACACCTGGTACAATTAACAGCACCTTTTTTTTAAACTAATTTGAATAAATGTTCACTCTATTGTAAATATTAATTCTCCCATAAAATATGAAACTAATCAGTGCAGCCAAATCAACTGACACAGCTACAAATGAGGTCACTAAAAGCTGTATGGATGATCAAAACATTCTCAGCATTTTTCACATAAAGACGGATACATCTAATTCTTTTTTACTTTTTCTTAAATATCTGTGTGATCCCTGTAACCGGGGGGTCCAGATAACACAGAGTATGTAAATAACACAGGGCTCAGAAATGTGAACGAGGACATCTGAACTTTCCAGATTTCTGCTGCCATCTGCTTGCCAGTGGCTTACTTACCATGCATGCTGCAAAAGTAAATGCTGCATGCTCCAAGTTCTGACAGCAGACAACTACCTCAAAAAACTTGGCTAAAACTACTGAAAAATAAGCCCACAGGGATTCAAAGTGTAAAAGCTACTCTGTACTATCTCTGTGTATTGATCCTCCTGGGCAAGTAAAATTGCAGTTCAGTGCAGACTAAATACTGGAAACAATCACAGAATATTAGTTCTAGTTCCACCACAGTGATAGACCCTAGCACTCTCTGCTCCTCTCACACATATTTCCCCATTAGGGTTAAAATCTTAACAGATTACAGATCCTCTCTTCTGTCTAATCTCTTTATTTATCTGCCAGGACAATAAGACACATAGGTCAATCATTTACTCATACTAACTCGCTTTTATGGCAAAAATGGAGCCTGTCCTCCCTTGGTGAAGTGCCTAGCTGAAATGATTCCATTCTATGATTCTATGACTCCATTCTATGAAAGGGGTACATTTTGATGAAGGAATTAGTAATGGAGGCAGAAAGATCTTTGCACAACAAGTAGCATAGACTTTGTGTGTAACACTGTGTGCGGTGAGATTTTGAATCTGTACACGTGTGCAAAGCATGAAGTCCCTATCTGGCACTACCTGTGTTTGCAAAAGCCAGTACAAAGCGTAAAGACTGCTGGTCATTGACGTCTGTTTTTGTGCAGTGGTTTCAATGCAACTATGTTTATTTGTGACTATTTCAAATTGGGCCTCTTTTCCACATTGCTACAGAAGGAGAAACTACTAACTTCTCTGAATTTACTGTCTGTTTTACAGCCTATTTTCATGTGTCATATTCCCAAGTGAATTTGCAGAGAAAATAGAATCTAAATATGTACAAAGGAACGTCTATAATTCATAAACATGCACACCTGGGCATAACACTTAGAAGTTTGTTTAAACAACACAGCCCTGGTGGTGAATGGTGTGCAGACAAATACAAATCCTGACACTACTATGCTCCTTCCACGCAAATACATGCAGATGCAGCCCACACGCAACCTGCACAAACATGGATGCCGCATTTGTTCCTGTTGATACAAAACACATGCAGCCAGTCTCCCTTTAATGCCCCTCATGACCATGTCCTACACTTCTCCTCCCACTTCCACAAAAACAGCAGTGCTGACTCTTACGAGTGTTGTACAAACCTTTGTTGGTAACTTCCCAAGAAACTTCAAAGAGCAACAAGTCCTCCACTGGTAGGTCTTCATCTTCCCATTGAGGAAGCCCATTAAGAGAGGTCATGGACAGTGATCTAGCCAGTGGCATTTTCTTCAGCCCCTAAATGCTCACCACGCAGGCCACAACAGTTGTACTCAAATGTCCAGTTAATGTGGCAGTTCTCTGCAGTTCTACTTGGAGTGTTCTGCCGGTGCGCTGGGTTTGGAGAAGAAAATTTACTCAGATAGCTGGCAGCTAATGGGTTTAAACTGTCTGACCACCAGCATTAAATTGGCTCAGTGAAATCCTCAGGGCTTGAGAAGCAGCTGCTGGCAGAGGTAAGAATTTAAAAACGACTGACCTGAGGAAGGTCTTCGCTTTGGGAGCAGGTCTTTCTTCTGTCCCTAAAGGGAGGTAAAAATTGGTTCTGAGCTCCCCAGTCACAACATTCAGTATCTTCCTCTTCAGGAACAACTGAAACTCACCAGCTGTAAATTCAGCACTGCCCTGAGCAAACTCCAGGAAGGAGGACACTCTGAGTTCACCACCTGATCTGAGTCCGGCCCCTGAGTCCTCCCCTGCCTGTTACCACTCGTGGACTTTCTCTATCCACTGGCCAGCAGGGTAAGCAGACTCTTTCTACATGATGCCTCTTAGATTACTTGCCAGGTTAAGCACTGTTACCTATTCTTGTTCAGTCCAAAAGCACTAATTTGCCTCACGCAGTTTGCCTTCCACAGTGAATTCCAGCTACGTTCCCAAGGCTCTGAGCAAGCTGTTGATTTCATTCTGCTGTAGAGCAAACTTGCATCTCAGAGAGTTTCTACAAACTGAGCTACAGTTGCTTTATTTACATATTTTTGGTGGCACTCCCTGCAGGTCTTGTCCCCTATTTTCCACATGGTTTCTCTTTTTCTCTGGCCTCTGGGTCCAGGGAAAAAGTACACCCATCTTGCTGCAGCACAGAGCTAGAATACTGCAAGGAGTGCACACATCTGCAGAGCTTGCAGCTTAAGACCTCCCAAGACCCACAAAGCAGCTGCCTACTGTGATGATACTTATGTGCTTATGCTGAGAGCCTAGTTCCTCTGGGACAGCTGTGTCAACTCAATCAGATTCTGAGATTAGAGAACAACTTGCCCAAAATCCAGAGTTCAGCACTGACCAGATCTCCAGATCTCCAGGTGAGATCCAGGGCATCACTAGCTCTATGGAGGGCAATGGCAGGAGTGGACTTCATAGCAGCATAGATGGACAGAGCAAGTCCAAGGTAATTGGTTCAGAAGACAGGCTGCCCATCTGTATAAAAGTAATACAAGTATCACTTTGTTTTTTTTACTATACAGGAACCAGTAATAAATCCTACAATTTACATAATTGCATGGAGTGGACAGCTTCCTGTAAAATAGAAATGTAAGGGATGCTGTAAACCAGTAAATATTTGAACTGTGGGAGAGCTTAAGGCCCACATAGGCCAACGTTGCTTTGTCACAGCATCACCATATTCATCTCTTGTTTACCACTATGCTGCCAGTCTGCAAGAATGGACGTGTACACAGCAGCACACAGGCAATGTAGTACCTCAGAGCAGCTGGCTCACGTTATTTAGATGCAAAACCTGTAACATTGTGGGGATCTCCTCATTTCTGAACCCCATTTCCAAGGATGGCACTAGATAATCTTTGAGATCCTTTCCAACCAAAGCCATTCTATGATTCCGCCATTCTACGATTCTAATATCAAATCTGCCCAAGTCACCCTTTTCTCTAAAAACCAAGGCAGGGCTGACAGCCTCACAAATGTCATTCCAGGTGACGAGTAAAGAGGGCAAGTCCAAGCCAGCCCACAAACTCATCCTAACCGCAGAGCCCCGTGCCACCCCAGAACCAGGCTGTCTCGCATGTCCTGCTCGTTGACCACTAGGAGGCGCCCGCCTCCCGCCTTCCAACGGCCGGCGCGCGGCGCGATAGCCCGGCCGCCATGTCAGGATAGAGCGTCAGCTTGCAATGGAATCGCGGGGGTACTGACTGGTGGCAGATGAACGATGGCAGTCCGCTGCCCCCAGGCATTCAGCAGTTGTAACAGGCTTAAAAGACATGTGAACAGTGAACTGAGGTCGAAGTAATAAAATGTTTAAGGTTTTCGTATAATCTGAGTTTTTCAGGTTTTCCAGGTTTTTTCAGCTTTTTTTTTTTTTTTTTTTTTTTTTTTTTTTGTAGTTTGAGCTTTCACTTTTTAGGGTTGGCAAAAGATGGTAGAACTCCTTTAGCCTTGGCAAGTGGGTTTGCAAGGATCATCAGCTCACAGAGTATCACAGAATTGCAGGGGTTGGAAGGGATCTCTAGAGATCAAGTCCAACCTCCTGCTAAAGCAGATCTCTACAGCAGGTGGCACAGGTAGATGTCCAGACAGCTTTTGAATATCTCCAGAGACTCTACCACCTCTTTGGGCAGCCTGTGCCTGTGCTCCATTACCCTCACAGTAGAGAAGTTCTTTAGAAGTTCTTTAATGCCGGTACCTGTGATCCTACAGAAAGAAAACAGCTCTCCAGGAGAAAGGTTATATTCTGTCAGTAAGAATGGGCAAATCTACAGCATATGCAGTGAGGGGGGGCAGTCCCCAAGAGCAGAAAGGAACAAAGTCACTGCCTATCCTCCATGCAAAGTGCACTGAGAGGCAAGTGGTGAAAAGTGGACAGTGCTAACACTAGAAGAATGTGCCATTTTTTGTTGTAGAGATAAGAAATCACTAAGCTTAGAATAGCCTGGACTGCAAGGGACCTTAAAGCCCACCTGATTCCTATCCCCAGCTGTGGGCAGGGTTGCCACCCACTAGATCAGGCTACCCAGGGCCTTATCCTACCTGACCCTGAACACCTCCAGGGATGGGGCACCCACAACTTCTCTGGGCAGCCTGTGCCACTGCCTCACCACCCTCTGTGAAAAACTTTCCCCTGACATCGAGTCTAAATCTCCTCTCCTTTAATTTAAAAACATTTCCCCTTGTCCTATCGATATTCACCTGTGTAAAAAGTTGATTACCCTCCTGTTTATAATCTCCCTTTAAAGACTGCAAGGCTGTAATGAGGTCTCTTCCGAGCCCTCTCTTCTCCAGACTGAACAAGCCCAGCTCCCTCAGCCTGTCTTCATAGGAGAGGTGCTCCAGCCTTCTGATCATCTTCCTGGTCCTCCTCTGGAGTTTCTCCAAAAGCTCCACATCTTTCCTGTACTGGGGGCCCCAAGCCTGGACACAATACTCCAGATAGGGTGTCAAGAAGGCAGGGAGGGACAGTCGCCTGCTGACACTCCCACTTCTAATATAACCCAGGATACCATTGCACTTCTGGGCTGCAAGCGCACCCTGCTGGCTCATGTTAACGTTTTCATCTACCAGGACTCCTAAATCCTTCTCAGCAGGGTTACTCTCAAGAAGTTGTTCTCCCAGTCTGCACATATGTCTGGGGTTGCCCTTACCCAAGTGCAGTACTTTTGGAATTTTTTTCTTCTTCTGTAATATAACAAAAATGACAACTGCTGAATTGGAAAAATGGAAACCTACACAAAATAATAGTTTATAAAAATACTTTCCACAAAACTGAAACTGGTTTTGAGTCCAGTCTTTATGTTCCCATACTACTGTTATCACCAAAGTACACAAACTCAGGTAATGTGTTATACAACATGACTCAGTCTGGCCTGGCATCATAGGCAGCTGCACCATGTTCTCAGTCAGCTTGTGGACATGAACTGTTCTCACTTGCAAGATCTTGGACAATAAGAAGGCTGTGTCTGAAAAGTCTTTGAGAGAAACTGCACAGTGTGTTGTTTTGTTTTTAAATTTCCTACAGTTCTCTGGATATTGACAGGCAGGGATAATAGGCAGACGGGAGCACTCTGCCCCACATAAAGCTCTTTTTGAAACGGTTACATCCCAGGATGTTGTCATCTCTACTGGCTTTAATCTAACTCCTCCTGTTTGGGACCCCTCAGTCCCTCCTGTAGAACCATCTCAAGAAGGTTGGAAAATCAATTTCAGCCTCTCTGGCTGTGAAAAGAGCATGTTGGGGAAGAAGCAGTCAATACTGTTTATTGACTGAGTTTATAATGAGAAAAGTGCACCTGGGTCAGCTGTAGAAATAAATTATATATAGATATTAAAAATGTTCATAAACATGGGGTTAAATTGTACAGGTTTGTAGCATTAGTTACGTGCACAAGCTGTACTCTGGAAACTGAGCAGTAGGTGGCACTGATGGTATTAACAGGAGTTCTCCAGTGTCTACTGTATTGTTTTGCTTTTGACAAAAGGCTGTTTAATTCTTCTGACTAAATCTTTGTTCATGACAAACCTTAGTTTTTATAAACACTGTGGAAACAGAATCACAACACAGTCAGCAAAATGGGGGATCTTTGTCTGGAAGAAAAGCCCCTGCCTCAGGCTGAGGTGCACAGGGAAGAAGGGAAAAGAGCAATGAGAGGATATTAGAGGATATTTAATAAAGTGAGCTCTCTACTGTACAGGGTGTTGTGCTCCCATCTAGGATGCAAACTCATGGGCAAAGACAAATACTTTCAGAGATGTACAAACACAGCTCAGGGTAGTTCTGAGTTCTTACACTTTTATCTTGTGTGACATTGAAAGAATTGTTATCAGAGCTAGCAGCTCGGTTTCACAGAGTTTATCTGTATCTTCTCAAGCAGGCAGGAGTGCATAATTTTACTTCTCTGTCTGCAAACAATGGCTTGCCCAGCTTTCTGTGCTTTGTAAGACTGTTCTGCAAACTCAGAGATGTGGTGCTGAAGGAGGCCTTTCCATTCACTCAGCTATGGCATAGTAAGAACTTAATCAGACAAAAAAAAAAAAAGAAAGAAAGAAAAAAAAAAAGGGTTGTCCCATGATCAGAATTAAGATACTTGCTGAAATTTAACCATATTCAATGATCCTTATGAACATAAATTCTTCTAAGTGGAATATAGGCACTACCCATGAGTACGGTCTTCTTTTTTGTCTCCTTAAGATCCACACTATTGACTTTGAATGCCCTTGCTGCATGTCCAAAGATTTGTTTGTTTATTCTTCTGACTCCTATCTTTCAAAAAATAATAGTAATTTTATATATATGTATGTATGTATATACATATATATATATACACCAGAGCATTCAGAATCAGCCCAGTACAGAAGTCATTTTAAAAAATACTTATTTCCTTCTAATGCAAGATTATTCACCACTGGAAAAACAAATTCAATATAATGAACAGAAGCTCAACAACAAATAATCTCCCAAACTGATCTTCAGTCTGAGTGTATCAGGCACTACTCTACTGTTATACGTGAGTAGGAAAATGAGTTTGATATAATTCTAAGGTGTACTGCTCATGTCTACACATTCCCAGTGACACCATTGGAGGTGGCTGAATGAACAGAGGCTTTGGAAATCATAGCATTCCTGTATCATTGCCTGAAATGTGGAACTGGCCGTGCAGATAGAAAATGTACCTCAGAAAAAATGTCTTTTTTATTCCCTTTGCATTTTCACTTAGTACATCCCACTACGCAAGAATTACAGATATTACCTTCCAGAAGTTCCTGCTGATAGGTATCCACCTTCACTCTGTTTTGACAGATTTTCTGGATTATTTTTTTTTACCTCAGATGTTGAGTGTGTAAACACAACTAAGTAGGGTTTGAAGAGCTCTTAAAGAGGAGAGCATAAGGGAGAAAATATTTGCATAAAAATCAGTTTGCACATCCAGTACCTGGGCCATATTGTGCATTGTTGCTTATGTTTGCAGGTAAATTACTCATTTCAGACACTGAACAAATCCAAGCCTTGTGAGCCTGACCTCTCCAGTAAACCATCTAAGTTAATGATTTGCATGACTTTTTTGCTTGCATAGAATGACTCACAAACCAATGGCATCACAGGAAATCATTTATAGAAATGGAGTACACCACCGTGGTTGGTGTGGGTTTTAGAAAGACCCTAACTATTGTAATCTCTGGAAAGCTTTGAAAGTTTTGACTTACTTAAGATTGTGCTCAGAGACATGAATTAAAGGAGAACTACTCATAGATAAAGAAATACCAAAAATTAGACATTGTCCTGAGAGGCCCTGTTATGCTATGGCAGTGTGTCAATCTAGACCACAATAAAAGGATGGGGCTCTTAAATATTTTGGGGCTCCTAATCACACTGACACTAGTGAAAGTTCTGTGGTTATATATTACTGGGAATGTGCAACATAATTGTAATGATTTATATCTGTAAATTGAAGAAAGTAGCATTTAGTTGCAGCATAAAGCTGATGTGAGTTGTATCAACACAGTGATAACAGCAATTTGATGAGCAGCTGAGGACACAAGTCACCTACTTATCACAAAACACAATTCTAAGTTAGATTCTATAAAAGTCATGTAAACACTACCAGTCTAGGAAAAAACTCTATACCTACCTATATGTTCTGTTGAACACCATTCCACTGTTTAATCCTGCCACCAACTCTCTGACCTCTTTTTGTCCTCTGACTACTAAAGGAGAAGCTAATAGAACACTGCAGGTGAGCTCAGAACAAGCCCACTTCTTGCTTAGGTGATGGCCGATTACCACAAACATCAGTGAGCTTTACTAAGCTTGCACAGTTTCTTGCTATATGGACTTATAAATAAAGGATGCAAAGGATATCTGAGTAACGGAAGGTGATAGTCTGCTGTTCTGTAAGCATATAAGAAGCAGCTATTCTACAGCAACTGTAGTGAAGATTACAAGACTATGTGACAAGCCTCCTAACAAAAAATAATTGCAGTATAGTTAATGTTTGCATACCCACTTACCTCAAAGGTTTGAATGTGCAGATAGAAAAATTCAAGCTCTTTCTCCTTAGCATTTATTTTATTTGTAAATCTATGTTACAAATACAGTGGTAATAAGCATGTAT